CAGTGTGCCTGTATTTGTTATTTATATCTTTTATCAGGATAAGTGGAAAAAGATAAAAAGAACTTAAATTAAAGCGAAATCCATTGATGCATTTATTACATCCTCGTATTAGGAAATAGAGTAGCTGTTTAACTTTTGTTCTGGCATCCACAGTAGCAAAACACAGGTTTTGTTAGTGCAAGGGCTCCTGTTAAATTGTTTCATTGCCACAGAAAAGCAGTGGCCTTTGACTCTGTGCAGAAGACATCATCCGCTTACAAGCTCTCACAATAAAACCATAATAAGCCCTGCTTTGTTTCGATTACATCCAAGTGAAAACATTTATTGGACTAATTACAATGGTCTCCCATTGGATTTTCTTCCTGTGTTACACATGCTTTGGCAAGGTTCCCAGTATTGTGTCAAAACGTCACTACTCATGACCATAGTACTAGCTGCCATGCGTGGAGAGGCAAACAGACAGGGGAAGCAAACTATGAATAGTGGATTAAATGTTTGCTCTACTGCAATACCAAACACATTGTCTTTGATTGTGTTTTCTGAGTGTCTTTGCTGCCAGGGGAAAGCTGAGAACAAAATTAAAATGTTCAAACTGAGCTCTACATTAAAGTGTCATTGCATTGGGACTACACTCATGTGCTATTGATTGTCAGAGGTCAGAATCAATTCTCATCCTATTTTCATACAGAAAATCACAAACGCATTTCATTCATATAACTGACACATCTTATCCAAAGTGATACTGTATTCAACCATGTGGATGCAACATTTGGGTTGACATAGAGAAAAGGTTGATTAAAATTTTGTTGATGAGCCAAGGTGAAGCCTGAACAGATGAGTTTTCAGTCTGTGACAGAAGATGTGGTAGAGGTTCTGCAGTCCTGATATCTATGGGGAGCTCATTCTACCATTGTGGACCCATGGCAATGGTGGAAGTACCAACACTGTCTATGCCATGGCCTAGTTTTGAGGGAAGGTGTAAATACGACCAGAAATGTGATAGGAAAGAGGGGTGAGAACTGGACAGAGACAAAAACAGGATGATGTTGAGACAGCTACAGAGAGGTATATTGATTTTCCTTAAGAGGTGAATCTGTCAGCTGTGATTGTGTCAACAGAAGCTTTATTTGGCCAGAATATTGGTAGCCAAGGTAAACAGAATATTCAGGAGCACACAAGCCAAAATAAGTAAGCTTGGAAAACGCAGGCCTACACTGCCATTAAGTATTGTTTTTTTATTTTATTATTATTATTATTTTTTTTTTTTTACAAATAGTGGATGTAATTAAATACAGAAAAAATGCTAAAAATATTTAGTTTAAAACTCAACTAACAACAACTAACAACAAACTAACTAACTACAAATGGGTCCAAATTGTGTACAAATGCAACCCTAACCCTAACAAAAAAATGCTTGTGCTGAATATATATTTCCTTTTAAAAAGGTCCAGTGTCCAGCCTTCAGGAGTGGCATCTCACAGTGAAGTTGCAACCTCCTCGCCTCACCCTCCCCTTCTAAGCATATAGGTGAAACCTGGCTGTAACACTCTTGAACAGCCCTCTGGTTAGTTATGAAGGGAGTGGAAATATAATAAGCCAGGGCACTGAATATCCCTCAGAGCACATTAAGGTCAATAATAAATTATATGGCACTGCTGTAAATCTAAATCTGTACAAGGGGGCACTAGTGACGAAGGCCACCAAGACGCCTATGGCCTATCAATATTATATTCAATTTCTTCCAATAAATTCTGCTGTGTTACACACTGGACTATTAAGTGTCACTGGCAGACGTTGCAGATGTCATAACTTAGGAAAAACTGGATTGGACTCAAATGTGTGGATGTCTTCGGTTATTTAATGAAGATGAACTTAGAAGCAAGTGTAGGTAGGCAGGCAGATAAATGGCTATAAGTCCATGAAAAGCAAAAGGTTCAGCAAGGGAACACAGGGAAAAAGTAATCAGAAATAAAAAATACAAGAGAAAACCAAGAGCAAGGTATCCACAGATTAAATCAAATAATTAGGGCAGGGCAAACAATCAAACTGGAGGGAAAACAGACAAAGACAGGAAGTGAAGAAGAACAAAACACAGTAGGAGGAAAATTACAAAATAAAACAGGAAATAACTAAAGAAAACTCAAACTCGTCATCATCTATGTATAATTAGGCTGTAACAATCTGGTTAGTTATGAAGACATTGGACCATTTCAAAGAAATCCACAACGTGATAATACAAATAGTCCAGGGCATTGGATATCGCTCAGAGCACCGTAAGGTCAATAATAAATTGAAAGAACATGGCACTGCTGAAGATCTGCATCTGTACAAGAGGGCTCTAGTGACAGAGGCAAGAGGCCTATGGCACCTCTGCAAGAGCTCCAAAGACACTTTAAAAAGAGTGTCTCTGCACATAATCTGCTGCTGTCTCATGACATCTGGCCTAGTGTTCTACTCTGAAACACTGCCTAATAAGACCAATATTAAGGTTTTTTGGCCATCACAGTGAACACTATGCTTGGTATAATCCATACACTGCACATCAAAAGCACCATCCAATTGTGGTGGCAGTCTGGAGCTGTGGGGAAGTTTCTCTGTAGTAGGACGGGGAAGACTTATGAATGTAGAGGTTAAATTAAATGCAACAAAATGGAGGAAAACGTGAAACTTTGGAAGAGATCAATTCTCCAGCAGGCAAAAAGCCCAAACATTAAGCCATAGCTAAACAAGAACGGCTTCAAAATAAAAATGTGATTGTTCTGATGTGGCCAAATTCAGACCTCAGTCCAACCCAGAATTAGTTAAGGAATCTGAACTTGCTGCTCAATTACAGTTCATGTGCGTCTTGACAGAGCTGAGCAGTTTTGTGAAGCCAAAGAGTGGAAAACTGCAGTGTCCAAATGGAAAGCTGTTACAGATTAATATTCATATCTACAGCATGTCTCAGGAAATAAATATTACATGTCATATTTGTTTCACAAGTTCATGAGGTATTAGTGGTAATTTTATGTCAAGGTTGTAAAACTGATTTCAAATAGGGACACATTGTTGCAACTAAAATGGAGATCTTGCCTACTTTTCTGCTGCTCCCAACATGATTCATTTGGTATAATTGCAGGCTTTGTGTTTAGCATGCAAAAACTGAAATTGTTAAAAAAATTAGTGCTAATTATTCCACTTGAGTGCTTGGAATTGCATCCTTTGCACTGAGGCTCCCTTTTTCTTACATAGGTCAAAAAGCTCAGACAGCTGGACCTGCGCAGACTTGCCGCCTTGCTGTGGGAATTATGTGGAAATGTTTGTTTCTCCCAGGTTCAGTTTAAATATTCATCCTCCGCACTCTGCCGTAAAATATTAATATTTATGACTTACTTTATCATTACTTGTTTTGTGAGTAGCATAGAGGGACTACAACTAGCATTCCTTAATACAACTCTGTGTTATAAAGTGATAAACAGATTAACCTTGTACCTTGTAGATTTACTGGAACAGATAATATTTCCCAAGGTCAAAGACAGAAAATTTCCCATTCCTGTTCCCAGCATCAGTAAGGAAATGATCCAAAATCCATTCCTGAAAGAAGGTAAATTCTGCCAGTGATGAGGCAACAGTGCCCCAAATGAGTATAAATACCAGTACTCAACCATCAGACAGACAACACTAACTCAAAGGAGCTGACAAGAGTCACCAAAAGAGTGAAAGAATTGAAACCTAAAGCAGTCAAACCCTCCTAAGATGAAGACATTCAGTGTT